AATCTATAAGATTTGTTTGTTGCATATAATATAGCAAACACATTTATTTTAATGTATTCCAATAAGAAAATAATCGTAAGGCATCATCGTTTCATTAGGTGTTACGCATTTCGTCGTGGTCTTTTGTAAAAAACAGGTTAAATACGGAAAGATCATTACAATAAAATGTTGTTTAAAAACGTCAACAGTATTATATTTACACATAACACACGTATCGAGCCAAACGGCTTGAGTGCAAATAATGAATTGCGGAAAAATTGTTTTATTACTACTAAAACCCGACGTCCAATTATCTGTGCGGTGTACAAGTAACATGAGCATCTGTACATCCATGGTAGTCGACGAAATACATAATCAGTGCAATTATATTAAATATACATACGCGCGTGTGTTACGCCTGTGTGCGTTCGTGTTGAGCAGTTGGTTTTTTTTTTTTTTTACAGAAATGATATCTTCATAAGTTTAATACGATTTTCGAATAACGTTCAAGGATTAAAATACAACAATATCAACGGTAGTTTACCCGTTTAAATTTGTATTTTTACAGGTCACGAGAATTTGGCATCGATGTCATGTAAATCGACCATTGTAATGTTCACGTACGGGTACGCAATATCGGTTGGGCCGAAAACGGCCTACAAAGCCGACGACGTTGGTTTGGGATTTTCCGTTCTAGAAAGTCGAAAACGAGTTTTTTCTTAACGCCTGCACCCGTCACGTGCACCGCGAATCTACATTATTTATATATACTTGTTTTTCATCGGCGCCGGGGGGATGGAAACATCAAACACGCTGTATACGATTCGCAATAACGATTGCAACCCACTTGTAGGTGTGTATACGTATATATATATATACACGAATATATTTAAAACACACCTATTACAGGGTACACAGGTGTACTTACACGGATGTGATACGATGTCGAGACGGTGCATAGGAAATACCTACGATTTAAATAAATTATCGTTTTCGCGCGTACGTATTCTACCGTTCGGCACGACTTGAAGGTCAATGCGCTCGATCAACGTGTTCCAATTGTTGTTCCATTCGTGTGTGCGTACACGGCGTGCGTGTGGGTCCGATAGTGCGAATGTATGATTAAGACGTGTTTTACCATCGCGATCGATAATGCGTGGTTCGTCTTCGTATAAATGTGAAAAAACTATCTCGACATTGTTTTCACAGTGAACTCTCCCGTCGATTTAGCAATAATAACATAATACGTGCAATATGCGCTACGTTGAAACCTGAGCCTTTGAAAAAAATAATAATAAATACCAAACAAATTGATACTCGATTTTGTTTTACCCATTTCGACACCATCTATCCCCCTCCCCCTCAGTAGGAGAAATAAAAACATTTTATAACTCTGCAATCACGTATGTACCCACCTCTCGTTAAAGTACTCATCCCGCGGCATAAAATTATATACCTATACGCCAGGGATGCCGAACCTTTTTAGGTTCAAGTGCCAAATTTTTCCTTTTCAGGTTTTTAAAATCGTTTACGTGCCCAAAGGAAATTATATTTTCTAAGACTATAAACAAAATTACAGATTTATTACATTATTTTTATTAAACTTTAGTCATTCTTAGTGAAACACAAGCAGCAATTGGTTCGTTGGTTAAAACCTTTCTTTTCTTCAAATCAATTACATTTTTTATGGAGAATAAGCTTTCACTAACATAGGTTGACGAAAAATATGAAAGCTTAAGGAATATTGTCATTTTTAAGATATATATAATTTGTTTATTTTAATTCCTTACAACCAATATTTTATTAATAGTAAACATTTTTTTTTTTTTTTTGTACAATTTTTCAATTTTGTACAATTTCAATTTTTTGTGCGTGCTATTTTTGGTACGCGTGCTATAGGTTCGCCACCCCTAATATACACTATTCCGATTAAATCATTATTTTTACGTATTTTAATATACATATTTTATTTTCAATAATGTGTGAACGAAATCGTACGCCTTGCAAAAAAAAAAAATTTATAATATGGATGTAAAACTATACAGATTTAACTTTGAAACGAATATCAGAAAGCCGAGAATATACTGGTAAGACTTGCAGTTTAATTTCATAATTTTAATTAACCAATCATCCTATTCAGAAAACAATTCGGATAGTTGGTGTAATAATAATTTAAGCCCTAATAGACGAACGGGTGTAGACGGTTTGTTTTTTAGTCAAAAATGCTTTTTCGTTTTGAAAAAAATGATTTTTACATTTAACTGTTATAAATGTTAATAACTTCATTATAAGACATTAAGTATCATAAGTACTAAACAAAATCGTTAGTTAGAAACTAAAAATTCAAGTTAGAGAGTTTAAAGTTTATTCCAAACAATACACGCGTATATTTATTTATAAATAATTATTCAACATCGATGTATTGATGTATGTAATTAATTTCGGTAATTTATAATAAAAAATATTTCATATTTATATAATGATCGTATTAAACGTATCCAAAGAGGTATGAAACATTCTTGTTTAAGCAGAAAAATAATAATTTTATTTGTACTCATCGGTTCGTCGATCTTTATTTGATCTCCACACGTGCCGCGTCATCAGGGCCGGATTATGGTAATAATACAAAAGGGCTATTGTTTTTAATGAGGCCCTTTTACAAAAAAACCGTTCCATTTTTTTCTTCAGATTTAGTTATTTGTAATAAATATCAATTAAAATAAGTTTAATTTATTTGTATAGTTGAAAACTATAATAACATTTTATTTATTTTAACATATTTATTTGATATCGTTTTATATGAAAAAAAATTAGCAGCTTATTGTGGTCCCTTTCAACTTGTGGCCAGGGGTTAAAGCCTCCCCAATCTCCCTTTAATCCAGCCCTGCGCGTGATACTTTCGGAGCACGTTTAAGCCTTGATTTCCTATAACCGCGCATCCGTGATTGCGTGGTGCGCGATGCGTAATGGAAGTGTTTTGCTACGATGCGTGTTTACGACTGCGTGGTTTGGAATAAACAATTTTAGTCATTTGATGTTTAGTAGTACATCAAAATGGACGTGGTTATACTTTATATAATTTTGAAGTATGAAACAGATGAAGAACTAATGCTTCTTGCGAATAATTTCCGTTATGGGAATCATGAAATGTTTAGTCTTACTGTCCAAGGAACGTTGCATTTGCCGCAGAACAACAGAAACTGTATGTACATGTATTAATGTAGTCATTTTTAACGACTCGATCTGGTTCTACTGCAGAAAACGGATTTAAAATCGATCGAATAACCGTGGGAAAAACCGTCATCGTCAACTATACGTGGCGTGACGGTACATCGTCACCGCCTACGCCCTCGCCCCGACACTGTGCGTACATGACGGAGCACTTGCGATTCTCGGCGGACCACAGCTATACCAACGAAGTATTTATACAAAAAATCTGACTAAAATAAATATATTTAAAAAAACGTTTAAAATTATGACAATACTAATTTTCTTTAAGTTTAATATGTACAAAGAGATGAAAACAACATGTTACATTGTTCTAGATGGCTTCCTAAATAGTGAGTTTAAAGTTCAGTATAGCTTGTTTTACATTTTGTTGTTTCGTTTATTGTGTACAATATAATAATTTATGTATGTGCTTAAATATTTATTATTTTATAAGCGATTTAAAATAACTGTTATGTTTTTGGATAGTAGATGGGTTGACATTTAATTGGTTCGATATAGTATAGTTTTTTCCTATTGCAATTTAACATGTCATCTATTTTTGTTTTTTAAAATGTTTACGTGATTTCGTAAAGGAATTAATATTATTTTTGTATAAATCTATATGTGTCCGAGTGTCGCCAAGAAAAAACATTTTTTTATCGCATAACATAGATTATTAGGGTTAGATATTTAAAGAAAAATATTTCGCCGATTTACACCATTTAGTTTAATATCATTTTAATACTGTGGTGACATTATTTTTATAGAAGTTGGCTTTATCGTTGCGACCAACGTAATTATTATAATTTATACAGTTAAGTAATTGCTATTTGTTTGTGATAATACCGGAAAATATAATCCAAATAATATTTAAATGATTGCAGTTAATAATATTTAGTTGTGCTAGTATGAGTGGATGCCAAAATCATATAATTTAAACTAACGTAGTTTATGCAAAACGATTGTAAACACGGTGTCGATTGAACCTGGTAGAATATTTCTTTTGCTTCTTAATGTTCTTTTTTTATAATAATTATTGTAATACTTTTTAAAAGTAACAGCAATATTAAATGCAATGACTAGAAAATCCTTAAACGAACTTGTGCATAAACGTTCAGAAAAAAATATTGACTAAAATGAAAAACGAGCATATTAAATAACAAAATGCCCGTCAAGTTATTACACTACATTTAGACTAATTTAATAGAAAATAAATTGTAAGCTGCTAGCAATAACGATTTTTTAAAAATAATGTTATATTAATATAAAAATGTCGGCGAATCGAATGGTCGAATAAAATACGAAAAACTAAGGATTTTAGACAAATAATTTCTGCTGATTAGTTGACATTTGCAGCCTGTATGAGTCAACATGCTGAAGGAAATATCGATTTATGAAAAAAAATGGAACACTTACACCGAATAGAACAACAAAATATGGAAAAGTTATATGCAGAAATATCGAAAGGAAAAGATAAATTCAAAAAACGCACAACATCCGAAGCTTTATCCGCGTGTTTGCAGGAGCAAGCTTATTAAAAAAGCAGTATGAAGTTGTACACCGCTAGTAAATACATTTATCCTTGTTATTTCAAAAAAAAAAAAAAAAACGCAAAACAAGATTGCTATCCAAACAAACAATCAACAAGCAGTCGCGGAAACACGCGCAGAAATTAATCCACAAGATTAGTTCGATCATACTCATATGTCCCTCCGTGAATATTCGACCGACGCGCGATTTGGCTGTAAAAATAATTATTGTGTCGTTCGCAAGAGTTCGATTTAAACCATAAAATCATAATATCCAGTACCGTTCGTCAAATTTATCGTCCGACTCCACAACAAGCTCGTACTACGTTTTCTACGCAAACACTCGGCCGCGCGCGCCGTAACCGCAACGATTTCCGCGATCCGCAAACGGTACGCTCGCACGTCGGGCCCGGCACGCATCTTAGGTTGCGCCTAGGTTAGGCTGACGCCTCACGCCCGCAACGGCACGGTTTCGCGTCCGGTTCCATTGGTCGTCGTCGTCGGACGCATGCACCGCGACGGCCGGGACGACGTCACCGCGGTGACGGGAAACGGTGACCCCGCGACGACCGCCGGCGACCGGTACCGAATCACGTGCGTCACACCGTTGGACGCCGGCACGTTCGGCACCGTTTACCGGGCCGTGTTGCTCGGCCGCGGCTCGAGACGCCCGGTGGCCGTCAAACAGACCCGGTTGCCGTACGGCCGCGGAGGCCGCAACGAACTGGACGTGCACACGCGGCTGCGGCACCCGAACGTCGTCCGACTGCTGTTCTACTTTTATTCCGGTAACAACGATAACAATTCAAATAACAACGGCACACGTGACCGCCCAACGAAAATGTTACGATCGTAATAAAATCGTAGCTTTATGCAATAATATTGTATTATTGTAACGTTTTTCTACAACATGTAATGGCGTTTTTATTATTATTACCTACCATTACTATCATCAATGTTATCACTTTGTCACCGTAACCGTCGTCACGCAGTGTTTATGTTACTACACGGTCACCCGAGACGTTTCGGATTATCGTAACCTTAAGAATGTTGTTCTTAAACAATTTACTGAAAAACATCACATTCGTCTATTGCATAATTATGTATAATTATAAAATTATTATTATTATTATTATTAATTATATAAAACGCTCATGTCCTATAACATAATTATGTATGTGTATTCGTTTTGTTTTTTAACCAAAAATGGTTCCATTTATTGTTGTTTTTTCTTATTAAACACATTTTTCAACCGAAATCTCTAAAAAAATTTAAACTCTAAAAATTTTTTTAAGTCGTTTGAATGAAAAACGTACCGGTTAAATATACAGCGGATGAAATGGGGAAGGAAATTAAGTTATTTTTGGTTTGCTTTTCCATCCCCGTACACAGTTTTATTCTACCCAAAATAACGTGTTCTTCCTGTTTGAACATTTTTTTCATATTTTTATCATTTCTATCTGTATTCCTAAACTTAGTCATTTTTTATTATTTTTATTTAATCAAACCATGAAATCTTATAACCGTAATAAATATAATACTGAACAAATTAAAAAAAGCATACAAACGAACTGTACCATAATTTTACCATTTAATTTTAAATCACTATTTCGGCAATGAACCTCTCGATCTTTTAACTAGTTTGATTTACAAACATTATTTAAATTTCAAAACTCTCTTGGTTCTATAAAAATCCAAAAAATACTAAAACTAATACAAAAATAACATTTTTAATTTTTATTAATGGTTTTCAATAAAGACTATTGATAGAAAAAATAAATAAATAAAGAAGGATTCCAATCAGAAAAATGTAGTTTTAAATTTAAAAACATATTCATGAATAAATAGAATTATAACTTTATTCACCTAAAAAATATTCATTTAAGGAGTACTTACTAAAAAAAGTACTGGTCAAGAAAATCGATCTCTTGAAAATTATATATTTTTGAGTATGAATAATAATATATATAGTGTACACCATATTATTATTTTTATTAGTGACGTAAAATCAACTGTTATTTGGACTTTGATCATAATATTTATTCGAATATCCCGATAAACTTAAATTATCTAAATTATCTTAAAATCAATTAATTATTAATTTTAATACCGAAGAAAAATATGTAGAACCTTAATATAAATAAACGTGGACTTAATACTTCTGAATCGCGGAAATATATTTACATACTATGCATTTATATATTTGGAACGCAATTATTTTTAAAATATTCACCTATTGTGCTATTATATTCATAATGGTTCATTAATTGGTATACATCAGCGCTCGAAATGTAAAATTTTACGAACCGGAACGCTCATAAAATTAATATGCGGATGATAATATTAATTTTTAATTTAACTCTTTTAGCATAGGTACCCCCTTAAAAATGTACGATACCCCCTCCCCCACCATGACAGAAGGTCTGAAATGAACAGTGGACTCAAATACAGCGTAATAATTAAGATGGACGTGGGTATAATTTTGAAGTAACAACTTAAGGTTGACAGACTTAAGAATACTAAATGTTTACTAATAATCATCAATAAAACCAGACACGAAAAATCGTTGTAAACTGTGAATGTTTAATTATTAAAGGGAATAGTCCAAGCCGGACTGATTTCCCGACTTCAGAGTGTGCGTACGTGTGTGCCTAGGAAACGGAACGTTCGACAGACGACTGAACCTGGTCATGGAACTGATGCCGACCAACTTGGACCGGGTGATCCGGCGTTACGCTTCGGTCGGCCGCACGGTGAGCGTCAGCCAGGGCAAGCTGTACGCTTACCAGATGTTCAGGGGCCTGGGCTACATGCACGGGACCGCGGGGCTGTGCCACCGGGACGTGAAGCCGCGCAACATGTTGCTGTGCCCGTGGACGGACGCGCTGAAGCTGTGCGACTTCGGCTCCGCCAAGGACCTGACGGACGGCCGGCCCAACTCGCGTTGTACGTGTGTTCCCGACGGTACCGGGCCCCGGAACTGTTGTTCGCGACCGCGACGCACTACACGACCGCGGTGGACGTGTGGAGCGCCGGGTGCGTGTACGCCGAGCTGATGACCGGCGCGCCCGCGTTCCCGGGCGTCAGCGCGTCCCATCAACGCGCGTTGGTCCGCCGTCCACCCGCGCTCCGGTCGGCAGCGGCGCCGCGCGATTCGGTCCGCCTGGTGATGGCCGCGCTCCGGCTGGACCCGCGTTCCAGGCCGACGGCGCTGCAGGCGTGCGCTCACGAGTGCTTCGACGTGCTCAGGTCACCCGGTCGGTTCGACGGCCACGATGTAACGGCCGTCGATCACCGGACCCGATCGGATATTCGCTCGCGCGCGTCGATTATTACGAACCGCGAGCAATAAACGTTTTCGACTCCTATTACGTATAAATCGCATCATATTTTACCTTCTCTAAAATCTCAATGATTCTTCCCCTAACACTCTCTGCACACTCCATTCGGGAAAGACCGTATTCTCTTTGATTGTCCCTCCGTATCTATAAAACGTCATATACTATTTGCCTTTGTCAATTCTCTCGATATCCCATTTGTTCTAAATTCTAATTCGAAACCGGAAATTATGCTTATCATTTCCTTTGTTCGTGAGACCGGTATTTAAGTTATTCAAGCTCTGATAACTTAAATGGTTTTATGATTGCGGCACTTTTATTTCTAGTATGTATTTTAATATTTTAATTCGATTAATTGTTATTGTTACAGCAACTGTCAAGTTTAATAGTTTTACAAAGAGCTTTAAAAAATAAAAATTAGATCACATCACGTTCATCACTTCGAGGGCCGTTGCGGTTGGATGTGTGGGCATAGCCACAAATAGTGTTTGAGGTTTGTGGCAGAGGAGGAGCTGAATATTATAAATATATGAGATACACTATGTGTAGGGTGATACAATTGTAATTTTTTTTGGGAGGGGGCTGTCGGGATTGAGCCCTCAGCCCTCCTCCATTTACTTCCTCCTATATGGTGGAAGGTTTTTTAAGATTCTTTGGGAAGCGACAACGTTTATACTCGTACGATCAAACTATAATAATATATCAAACATTTCGCATAGCAAAGTGCTTAATCGAAAATATTTTACATACATGGTACCTGCTTAAGTGATATCAATATGATTTTATATTGGCTTTTCCTTCGGTGTTATTGAATATCTGTACAAGTCCAGGAACTCAATTTCATCCGATCAGTATTTATATTGAATTTTTATGAAATAACATAACAAATTTCTTGTTTGGTGTTTTTGGCTTCAAGTCAAATGTTGATTAAAACATAGGTTATTTTTTTCTGATCATTATAATTTAAGTTAAACACTTTGAAATCAAAAGATTTTGTTCAGTTCACTTTTACTATCAAATCGATAATCTTCGTGAACAAGCTCGATTGTTTTAATTTTTAATTTTCAAGTGAATGTTTTAATAGAATTGTTTTTTTCATAAAATAAATTACTATAAATATTTCATCTTATGACTTGTGGTTTTCAAATAAAAGTATTAATTTTTTATTACACGTAACATATTATAGTACTCTATATGTATCGTGAATATTTCAAATCGACCTTCACTTAGAATATTGTTTTTTGAATGCAATTATTTATACAAATATTACGACTTGTACCACAAACCATAACTCGAAATCAACAATATCTGTGTGTAAACAAACTAAACACCTATCTTTACATTGGCATCGTCAAAATCATCTAGTACCTTCAGCAATAACATTATCCAAAATAAACATGAAACCATCGTATGAAAAAATGTTTCGATCTTTATTTTTCTTAAGACTTGTTTTATACAAAGTTTTGAAATAAAAATGTTTAAAGTTAAAAGTTCAAAAATATGGTAATCATATTGTGACAATGGATAACATTCGATGGTTTAAGATTTATTTTAATACAATTGTATATATGACCATTCGCCAAATATCCTATTGATAAATCGCCGAACTGTACCATTCCCAGGAGTTATTGTTTAGGGGTGTTTTCTAAGCGACATAAAATCTTATTTTATCCGTACCCTTACACGCAAGCAGGTAATTTAGTTAAATATTTTACATTGTAATCATATTTAAATTATACTCACAAATATCTAAATTAATTTTTTATCAAATTTATAAATTATGCATTTAGTTTTAGAGGTCATGAATGATTAATTCGCTTTAGATTATATCGAATTAATTGCTATAAATCATAATAATCGTTTACCAAGATAAAAAATAATATTTAGGAAGTTATGTTCATTATTTTACTCTATAATATAATTGTTTGATATCCGTATTTACCACGGTCGTGAAAGTATGTTATTGATGTAATATTCGAAAACTACGATAATAAATAATAAATATTATCGCGAAAAAACTTGATAATATTCACAAAATAAAAGTTTGAAAATTTAAGACTGAAAATCTATAAATAACCAACTGGAGTGAGAGGACGTGTTTGTTACAGTTGTGAAATAAACAATTATTTTTATCAGTACACTATAAACATTCGAATTGATATTGGATTTAAATGTTATGGAAATTATATGGCGCTCGGCCGCGTTGCCAATTCGAAAGACTCGGTGAATTGTTATTAATAATTAATTAGAACTCAAAGAGCGAACATGTAGTGTAATTCATACAACAGTTTCGCGATCATCAATCGACAATTACCTTGTACACATGCGTATTGTCTTGGTAATAGAAACGAAACTATAAACGTAAACGAATGGATACGCGACGTTTGAGGAGTTCTTTGGGGCATAAATCATCTCCTTCCCCATAACAAAGGCCACCAACAGACTCGGAGACAATACAATTCCCTTTCGAAATGCTACCCAGTATCCTTTCACCTGGGAACAACTAATTCTCGACGCACTATCACGCCGTGTGCACGTGACATTAAATGGCGATGAGATTAAATCGTGACTTACCTTTTGTCACTCGCGAGTGCGCGTGCCGGGGTGGGTGGCTACTGGCGACTAAAGCTGTCATGCATAATTCGAAAATCTCCGAAATCGCACCTCTTATACGACTGCACGCGGATAAATATCAAATAGTACGTACGAAAAACCGAATAAACGTGTTGGACTGTAGTCAGCGATCGAATATTATAGTGCCCGTCGTCGTGTAAAACACAAATGTGCTAAAAGGCCTAGTCCACTTGCACGTAAATATAAAATAAATTTGTTTATAATCGTTGCAAGCTAGTTATGACGTAATTGATCCTCGGGGCGTTTCGTATCGACGCATTGTATAACATTTTGATATGCATAGTACTTATTTATGTATAAAATATACATCACATGTTGATGATGTGTTCTTACGCCTATATTTTTCGGCACTACTACTGTTTTGTTTGTTAAATTACGGCGCAAAGTGTTTACAATTTACTGTTGACTACCATACGAAACCTATGTACCTACGTCAACGGCGATGCTGAGCTGTGTAGCTTATAAGTATAATATTAATTCGAATACGTCACAGGCCACCCGACGTTCTTGGAGCTCAACAATAATAATCACCATCCGGATATCGTGTACATATATAATAATAAATAGTATATGAGTACAGTGTAAAACGCATACCGTCAAGGGCAATCTCCCGTAGGTCTGGAGAATATGCTATTATTGACACTTAAACGATTATTGTTTTTGAAACTTCAATCGTGATTAATGCAATTAATTTCCGTTTTGAAAACAAACACGCCATGGTGCGGATCAGACGACGCGACGATGGCGTTCCAATCAACACAACATTATTCAAACATATTGCACTGGCAGATATTAACATCCGTTTATGGTTTATAATAAAAAAAATAATACATCACGGTTTTATAAGAAAAGAAAAAAAAATTATAAGATTAATATTACCCAATGACAGCAAAAAATCTGAACGTTTCAATAGAAAATATTGAACACATTGTTTATAAACTTTTATTATTATAACCGCAGGAAGCTAAATGTAGGTATGTCGTACACTATAATTAAATGTTAATATATATTTTACTATACATAATTTATATACGCGGAACTTCAAAAATATGTTCTCTACTCATTTTGCATAATACTTCAGCACTTCACTCTCTAATTTATTTTTAATTATAATTATACAACAGAATATTATAGGAATTATCATATCATATTATAAGTTTGTATACATATGTATTTATAAATGCATTTAATTTAGGCAATTATTTTAAGTATATTATTGACACATATTTACAATTAAATTGCATTTATAAAACTAACGAAAATGAATGATAAACAAACATCATATTATTAAATAATTTATAAATATAAAACAATTTATAAATTAAACAAACTAATGAGCATTTATTTTCTTATCTGACTTATACAAGTATATACAAATGTAATTTAAAAATAAAATTTATCAAATCTCAATCAATACACCACGTTTCATGTAAATAAAAATGTAAGCTGTTCCGTTTTGATTGTGAAATTGTCGATGTGTACTTACTGTATGGAAAATATTTTTTTTTAGACATTCGGTCCAAATAAATGTTATTGAAGCAGTCAGTCTGAGTATAACTCATATCTATTGTTAATCAAATGGATTATAATCTAGTTTTACAAGCGTGATTTAGTTCATTAATTTATTTGAATATAATACCAGAGATTACACAACCAGTTGACGCAGATACGTGCGTACTACGTGTGGAATGTAGTTCGTTAAACTCTACATAATAATTGGACGCCGTCTAGTTGGTAGTTTTACTATTGTGGTCGAAAAAAAAATCGCAGATAATAAAACTGCCAACCAATTAAGCATTTCCGATAATCGTTTTTATGGATCACGACGTTCTTTTTCACTCTGTCGACAAAGGAGATTTTTTTTCGAGATTATACAATTATTATTCGATTCAAGGTTGATGTATTCCAACGGCGGTTATTTTCAAATAATAAATTATATTCATTCTTTTGCTAATCTCCCAATGCTATTATTTAATACTTGCCGGACCTTGTGTACGTCATCGCGTTATCGTTTCTTGTAATTTTTACAAGTAAAATATATTAATAGGCATGCGTGTACTATTTCTTTAATTATTTTTTTTCCGTAAAATGTTTCATTAAGCAAAAATAATGTTTGTGCGAATTATAGATGCGTTGGAGTGAACATGTTCACATGTAATATTTGTGATCGTAATGATTCTTTAGGGTCATCGTTAGAGTAAACATGTACGCTCGCACAATGTTCGGTGGCAACGATTTATTCCGGTTTTTGGTTCACGGTTGCTGAACATTGAGGACAGTACATTGCGTATCAAAAGTAATAACAGCGATGGTAAAGAAAAAAAATATGTGCATAATGTATTATAATAAATAAAATAGATACAAGGCTGTGTAGTTCTATCTGATGACCCTAACGTAACTTTAATAAATAAATGATAATAATAATAAAAGTAAGAAAATAAAAAATTAAACGAAAAAAAAATCTACAATGGAATACACAAGGTTTGTATTTAATTGTTGTGTTTTTTTACGCGAAATTAGGTTACTAAGTTTTATTTCGAGTATTAACATCCAAACATTTATGTATACCTGATACATAGATAGGTACTTTATACTTTCATACGCGTACCACATATGTAGTCGGATATCAAATTTCAAATGTTTTCTAAAGTAAATGTCACAACATAAGTTAAGGTTTACAAATCACACCGTACTAATAATACGCAGTACGGCTGAATTTGAACATGATAACCTATTTTGTAGATAATTAATCATTAATAATATGAGGTCAAATTCGATAAAATCGCACTAAAAAAATGAAGAGATAGTATTAGTGATAATATCATAATTTTTCATAAATATAATTTGCAATTCAAAAATACACACTGAACATCACATTAAATATAAATAACAGGTAATATCATATGGTCCACACGCATCCGATTTTCGAAAACGAATATTAGATGAGTTGCTTGATGGTAGTGGAGTAATCAAAATGAAAAATTTTATCAGTTAAAAACTTATAACAACCGGTTGATACAAAATATCAAAGTACACTGCATTTATATTACAGTTAAACTAACGTTTCCAATAATAATAGTGACATAAACAAAATATACATATACATATTAGGTGTACCTATGTATATTATAATTACTATATTACTATGGTATAACATTAGAAATTATAATTTACATACATAATTTCGAGTAATGTGAACGCATTAATATAAAACATATAAACTATAAACATACAATTCATGCTACCATTGATTATAAAATATTTTACAGTTCACTTTATAGTAGTTTTGTGTATATTTAAGTTTGGTGTTTTGGTTTTTTCATACATTTTTAATGGTAGATCTGTTTTGCGGTTTTTATTTTTCGTATTTATTTGATTTGTTTTTACATTAAAACTGTTATTGTATAGGTTACAAGCTCAATTATTATTGTAAATCAACTCGATTTACTAAAAATGATATTAATCTTTGGTTGTTAATTATGTAAGATAATTTAACTATAGTTTACAAGATGCCTTCATTCTATTGAACCGATTTTAATGTAACTATGATTAGGTTTTGTGGTTCTATAGCTCACGCTTTACAGTAGGTTTGATTTCGTTAAAAACAATATACATACAAACATTTTTTGTTTATCATCGCAGTATAATAATTAGTATAATGATTCATTAAATTTTTCATTGGGCATTTTTTTTACACAGCCAAATCTACATAAAATGAAAAAGATAAAAATGAAGTTATATATGTATATTGTTTTGAATCATCGAAATGCATTTAGTACAATATAAGATCTATGAACGTACTGTTCAGTTTTAGTCTTCAGCCGCGAATGATATAAAACATCTACACGTTCTTTAAAAAAATTAAATTAATATAAAATTGGAAATTTAAATAATATATTATTAAAGCTATGGTGAAACAATGATCATTTGAGTTATTTTAAGTCTACGACTTATTTACCATTTTATTCAGGTATATTACAAATGCCTGGGATTTGATCGTTTTGTAAATTAAATATGACCGATGTGTCCAAATAATAAATATTTAAAACGTTAATTTTTATTAAAAGTAATATCCATTTTGAATTCTGTAAGAGTTTGAATGAAATGCATTCTATATAAATGTGTTATATACACATAGTGCTCATAATATGTATTAATGTATTATCATCGTGATTATTTTCACGTTCAATTAATACAAATTATACTTATAATTAAAATAAAATCAATGATAATGAAAAATAAACATATATTAAGCCTCACAATATAATACCTCAAATATATTTAAATAAAATTATGGAATAAAATATTAAATAAATTAATCTTCTCGGGAGTTTTCGAACGTAAGATTATTTCATTATATGTAGAATAATATAAAACCGCATAGTATACGAACGAAGTATAATTTTTGTTGGTTAAATTCTGTTTTGGAAGTATTATACACGGTGTTTCAAAATTCTTCATCCGATTACGAACTCATATAGTTCGGCAACAGTTAATCGCAGGTTAATGACCAATGTATTATTGGAAAAATTAGATAACTAAGTTTATTTTAAGTTATCTAGTTGATAAATTTGGCACCATAATGGTTAGTGAACTAGGAACCGTTAGTTTATTTCGTTATGACGACTCCGCAACAGAAATCGTTTTGCGTCATACGTTTCAATAAGAGCGAGTCGGCAATAACCGTTCAACGTGATTTTCGAAGAATTAATGGAACTGAAGTTCCTACTGCTCAAAGTATTTGAGCTGCACTGGAAGTTAGAAATTCGCCGGTATTTGAACGATGAATTCCGTCAGCGGTGGATTGGGCGTAAAGGAAACGACGATTTGGTGATTCATCCCTGGCTACCACGTTCCCCTGGCCTCACAGTGTGTGATTTTTTTTTACGGGGCTATATAAAAGATAAAGTGTATGTACCACCATTACTTACAAACTTGGAAGAGTTTAAAATCAGAATCAAAGATGCTGTTAATGCCGTGACACCAGATATGATCAGCAACGTTTGGGAAGAATTTGATTACCGTATAGATGTATGTCGGGCGACCGATGGGGGTCAATTGAACATTTGTAACCAAAATAAATAAAACTTAACTATTTTAAGAATATATTTTACTTTATTTCACCCTTATATCTTCATTTTTAATATAAATATAAA